CCCTTCAGAGTGTGAGTGGCAGTGTATGAATCAAGCCAATTTATAAATCTGCTGCTGCTGCTTGGGAAAAACTCAGTGGAGCTGAATTTGTAGCATCAGGGGAAGGACCCCAGTAAATAATGTTTCAGGCATGAATAGACTGATAAAGTCTTCTGAAGAAAGCTGGCTGCTGGAGGAAAGTGAAGGGGCAAAATTCCTTCTTCCTTTGAACCCTCAGCAGGAATGGAGTTTCAATATTTGAGATAGACATGGGGGAGAGATAATAATGCAGAGAACACACTGGGGCAGTGCTCTCTTAGTTGTCAGAGCATAGACCATTGCAGCAGACAGAGATCTCAGCCCTTGCTCAATGATGCTCCCAAGCTGCTTTAGTGACTCATCTTCATTGCTGATGTTAAAGCAGTAGGTGTCTGGTAGCAAGGACTGTCTGTAATCATAACTCGAGCTCTGTGGCAATTGCTTAACTGATCAGCAGCCTGTTCAGTGCATCTGTGACAGCTCACTGTGCTCACACAGCCCCCAGGGATGTTTCACATCTTCAAATGTTGCAACTTGGTCCTAGATCTGGCTGAGGGGTGCAGAGCTCAACATTGCTGAGCAGGTACCTGAGGACGGTCATGTAGGGAAATGTCTTTTCTTTCCGATAAAGCTAGGCTTTAATGCTTCCTACTAAGTGGTCTGGGGGACACACTCCCCCCATATTTAAGCAAACTGAGGTCCAGTTTGAAGAAAGGAAGAATTATTGAATGTCTCAATGCAGAATTAATTATGTCAGATTCTATAGGGAGCCTTTATCCCTATGAATTATTAAAGTTTCTTTAAATTAAACTAGCATTTGTCTCAGAGTAGTTGAAACCTACTCTTCAGTGCTCTTCAAACACCAAACCAAAACACTGTTCCCATCCCAGAAGATTTACCAGCTAAGCCAAGAGAAAGATGTACTCCATATGGATAGAAACAGATATAGTTGTATGAGAGACAGTAGTTAATAGCAACAAATTCAGTAATACTACAAGTTTATTTGGAGCACTTCTTCTGTGGCAAATATTTCAGAAAATGTAGGAAAGTTTAATTATATAGTTAGTTAATTAAGAAATTACAGCAGGCACTGAATGAAATTAGGGGCTATAATCAGGAAGGGAAAGTTTTTTATAGATCAGCTTTGAAAACAGAAGTGTGAGTAAAGCTGAGAGACTTAGAGGGCAGGAAAACAGACAGTAGGATGAGTCAAGCAAGCTTTTGACACAGCATTGTCCAGTATGAATAAAGAAGATATGGCAGACTTATTATTATTATTATTATTGGATAGTAGGAGAAAACGTGGATTCAAAAGAAATCCTGATATTAAAAGAGAAAGTACGGAAGAAATCCAGAAGACAGATTGGAGTAAATATATGGAAAGTTTGAAATTAATTTTTTAAAGAATTTTTTTAAAATTATATGTTGATTAAGTTTTTTATAAGAGAATATATAAATAGGTATGGGTCTTCAAGTGGCAAAAGTCTCTTTAGACAGCTCGGTCCTGAAGCTTGAGTCTTGTAATGGGTCGCAATAAATAGCTGCACTGGATAAGCTGACCAAAAATAGAACTGTGAAGGTCCTTTCATGGCCTTTTCCTCTTATATGTTTTGCTTGATGACAATATTTCTTTAGATTACATCTGTATTTAGTGATACCCCAGATAGATTTGTGGCTGGATTGCTGTATTGGTGTTTGGTTATCCAGTAGATTCCTGGGTTTGTTTCTGTTTTGTTTGTTTGTAAATGCCCCCCAAATTTGTGTCCTCTTTTATGTCCTTTAAAATATAGAACCTGTAAAAAGAAAGCAAACTTCACATGTGTAGCAGCTACTGCTTTTTAATTAGTATTTGTTCCTGGTTTAGCTTTTAAACCTACTAACTTGAAGCACCTTTCAGGTGCTTTGTCTTTTTACTGAAAATGATGTGGTCTTGACTCAGGGAAGAGAGTTATTGATGGTGAAGTTGCAAAGCAATGTGTGGTTTGAAGAGGCAAATATTTGCTTGAGCAAGTGCATTTTTTTTCATATTGTGACACACTGTGTGTTTAATAATTACTGCTTACTATATCAACTTGGGTATGTCATGCTCCTTTTTTAGGCATGATTTATGTGATTTCTGCTCACATACCTGACTTGATATTTGGACAAGCCCTCAGGATCTAATTGTGCTTCAGCTGAAATCACCACTAAAACCAACATAGATCAAAAAAGTTATTAATAATCCTGTGAAATACCCAGAGTGGGAAATTCTGAGAAAAAAATATTGATGTTATTCTTGATTTATTGATCAAGAATTAGACAAGGGATAAGTTAACAAAATTACTGAGCAGTTCAGAATGCAACTGTATTATGCCCATACTTGGTTTCATGTTTATCTATTAATTACATTTCCTGCAACTATCTCTGCCTTCCAGATTGGCAACACATATACAAAACACATTTAAAACTATTTTGCCACAAACAGACAGAGGTAATGAGCTCATTTCTATGGAAATAATTCAACACTGTCATTGTTGTCTGCCTACCAACTGATCTGTAAAAATGTTTGTCCAAATTTGTTATTTTCTCATTTATTGAGAAATGCAGAAAAATAAGAGTATAAAATATACATAGGAGGTAATTGATTCATAAATAAGCTTGGCTTTCTGTAAGATAATTAATCTGGCTTTAATTCAGAAGAAAAATAAATAAATCAATGCTAGCAGGTAGCACTTGTAAGGGAGAGAAATATCAACTGTGAGACTAATTATTACTTGTCTTGTGTTTTGCAATATTTCATCAATGCAAATCCACTAATCCTTCTGAAGGTGATCCTGCTCACATTTGCAAATGTAATTCAAAAACCTTTGCATTGAATAAAATGATCTGCCTGGAAAAAAAAAAAAAAAACCCAGACAAGTAAACTAACTCTAAATCTATTTCTATTTGATGTTTTCATGAGCTTTCATAATTTCTGAGGGCAACAAGGGAATGCGTCAGAAAATTTGTTTGGAAAATTAGAGTGGGAGTCAAGATTTAGATTCTCAGAAGATCTGGCTTCAAACACAAAAATTAAGGGATTTATCCAAATGCATTAAGTGATGTGTATACTCAGGTTTCCTTTGGGCATTTTAGTGCTCCATGTTTCTTCAGCCCTTTTCAGCAGGATTGCTTCTACATTAATGAAAATTTGTCAAGCAAGGTCAAGCCCCAGAAGGTAAAGGACTGGCCTGATTTGACATCTGATGTATCAGATGGTGATTTCATCAGATTTCAAGATTTTTAAGCTTCAAGATTGTTGAAATCATTCTGGAAAGTCATCAAGGAATACTAGAGTGTAATGGGTGTTTTCTTAGATTATAGCCTTTGTCCAGAATCAATACTGAATCAATACTGCAGGTATGTTTGATGACTAAACACAGAGAACAGTCAAAAACAAGATTCTGCTCATTAGTTAATGGTAACTAAGGACATTACTTAGTGTTTCTGTTTGTTTATTTCTTTGTGAGATTATTTAGACAGATAACTATGCTGTGTAAAACAATTTCCAGCACCACAACAAAACACAGAACAAAAACTTAGAAAACACTTCATTCCTCCCCTGGTTTCCTCTGTTCCAGTCAATAGGAGGTAGGAAGTTTTTGAGACTTCCTCAGAAAAGATTTTCTGAAAAACTATTGAATCCAGATATTTCAATTATATTGTACCTCTATACAGTCTTCCTCCATGCAGCATCAATAAAACTAGAATGGCAGTCTTTCCCTGCTGACCAAGATCCTGTCAGCAGATCCCAGGAAACATTTAGTGCACAAAAAGTATTTACAAGACTGGTCCTTAAATGATGATATGGTACTGCTGCGAAGGGTTGGAAGATTACCCTGATGTACCTCAGAAACAGAAATTAGGATTATTGGGTATTTAAAGGTGTAATTTGTGAAGTACCTTCTAGCCCTTTGAAATTAAAAGTGCAATAAAGGCTGCTGTTATATCTCAAACAAATAACTGAAGAAAAAATATTCTTAAGTAGCTGCCATAGTACTTGCTATATTTTGTCATGTGTGTTCATAATACACTGCTAGTTTCAATACAACAGAATTAGAATATCAATTGCCTGTTTTTATTAGAGCACATTAAACTGTTTAACCAAAGTGAAATTGATTGCATTGAATTGCAAATTTGAAGTGAGGAAAAGCAGTGGAAAATGAAATTAGGCTCACTAGAGGAAAGTTAATATGCTCTTTAGCTCTTCTGTACAATAATACAAGCTTGAAATATGACTGCATATTCTGCTAAAATTAGGTTATACGTTTAGCTTTGTGTACTAGGCTTTACATTGCCTTTTGGTTGTTTGCTGAAGCTTCTCTGGGTCTTAATGTCACCAAAATTAACTCATGCATGGCTACCAAGCAGATATGGCACAAAGCCGATCGTTCCATTATCTCTGGTTTCACCTGAGTTACATGGGAGCTAAATCACTCATAGTGAAGTGAAGGTGAACTCAAAAGCTCCCCAATGAACTTAACTGTATTTAGAGTATAAAAATAAACAAGTATAAGGAGGCAGGCATTTTGTTTTAATCTGATATACTGTTCAAAGGTCTGCAAAACACAACACTCCCTGCCCTTGTGAGTCAGTGGTGAAGTTCACTCAGTCAGTGGAGTGTTTTGCATTCCCACAGTGCTGCAGGTATCCCAGCTAACTAGGAAACAGACTCTGCTTATGTGATGGGAAGACAAATCACACTGAAGTAACTGCTGGGTTTGATGGATGCTTTTCTCCCTGGTGTGGAAAGGGGAGTTTTGGCTAGCACTGACCTGTATTAGGAGGAAAATAGTAAAATACTTAGGGGATAAGTAGTTCAGATTTTCAGATCCAGACTATGTAAACATGTTCGATGTTGAGATATAATGTTGGTTGTTAGTGAAATGGCTACATAGAAAAAATTCTCAAAATTTACTTTTTTTTCCTCAATGTTTATGATACAGAGGAGCAGTGGTGTAGTTTAAGCAGTTCTGTGTATAACTGTCTGAAGAGGTAATCATCACATTTAGGATTATAGCTATACTTCCTGCTAGCTTGACAGAATTCTTCATTTTCAGTTTGATAATAAGAACAACTTCTTCCTTAGCAAGTTCTGCTGGTTAAATTTATTGTGACTGTGATAGAGACTTCTCAGAAGTAGCGTTTGCACTCAGGTTTGACTGAGTGTTTGATTGCAATCTAGTTTTTTGAAATGGCATTAACAGATTGTGGGAATAGTTTCCTAAAATCCCATTACGGGATGACAAGGAACTGTATAAGGATAATACAATGCACAGCAAGGCAAAATTAATAAATTCAGAATATCTAATGCAGCCTGATTTTAAGAAGAGTCTCTAGGGAATAGGTAGCAAAATGTTTGACAGTTTGTACTGCATGTAATATTATTGGAGCATCAAGAGGCCCTATAGCTTGTATTTCTCTAATGACAACTACTACTTGTGTAAAATTTGTGTCCCTTATAATTATCCTGGTGCTTATTATGTAGGTATATATGTTGCTCTGACAATAATACTAAAAAAGTCTGCAGGCATTGTGAAAGATTGCATTGTACATAGTGGTATCAATGAAATGAATATATCTTCATAATAAAAAGTACAACACATTAAATTTACAACAATGAAATATTTTTCTTTCAATTTTTTTATATATATGGGACATGGGCAGCACAGACAAAAAGGCTTCTTGTACAAGTTTTTGCTCGTGTCCTTGTGAAATTCCAGAGCAAAAAAGTTACTTACATGAATTTTATATGTCAGAATTCAATAAAAGTTGTCATTAATGACTAGCTAAATATGTTTGCCTTCCTTATGACCTTTGTGTGCTTGCATAGACAGTGAATATATGCCAGCATATCTGATTGGGGTTAAGCGCAACATGATTTAGATTTGACTTGCTTTAGCACTTTACACAAATAATTTCATTGCCTCAAGCCTGTCAGTTATTCCTTGTGGTGAAAGGCTTGTGACCATGTACTTAATAGACTGTTGGAAGTTCTGTGAGTAAAATTTTAGCACCTTTGTCAATTCTGATGTCTTCTGGTCTGTCCTCCAAATGGTATGTGCATCTTTATTTTGGTAAACTTTGTAGTACTATTTCTGTACTAGTTTATAATTTAATATTGGTATTGATATTATTCAAAGAGAAAAATCATTTGGGCTGAAAATATTAACCTTATTTGACTTTTCTGAAATGTCATAGGTATAATAGCAATAATAATTTTAAACAATGTGTAGTGTTACAATAGAATCAATAATTTTGAGGTGTGTTAATTTCAATTTTCAGTTTCATCTGAGGAATAAGAAAAAATGGGGTTATAGAGATGTTCAGCAATCTATCCCTGTTGTGGGAAATTTTGTTAATTTCAAATATAGCCAGAAGTTTACAGGGAATAAAAAGTTCAAAAGTATCACAAATAAGAAATCTTAGGCAGATACAGGGCATTTGAATTGAACCTATAATATTTTTAATGGTTGTATTTGTTGTATGGTATGAATTAGCTAATAAAGGAAAATGTGAATGAGGGAATGCAGACTCAGTTCATATGAGGCTATATAGCAGCTCTGGTAACTACAGAAAACTGTCTAAGGGATCAGACAAAAGTATGTCATCTCAGTTTAACAGCAGAAATAATATAATCATTCTTTCCCCCATGTGTTGCCACCAAAAAAAAAAACAACAAAACAAAACAAAACAAAAAACAAACCAAAAAAACACCCCAAAAAACCCCAAAGCAAAACAAAAAAAAACCCCTTTTCCTTATGGAATCATGACACTTTCCAATGGAAAACCAAAACACTTCAGTGAAATTATTATTTTCCCTTGGCCAAAAATTTGAATATAGATTCAAGACTTGTCATTCTAGCATACATCTAGTCTTTTTGTGGGGAACTGCCCTTACATGACAGAAGAATCCTGAAATATTGGAATTAAGGCTCCTAATCAACAAGCTGTACTTAAACAAGCCTCTCATTTGGCTTTATCCTCATTAGTGACTGACCCAAATTATACGTACCACACTCCAGTGGCTCTCTGACACCAAAAATTGCACACTGGAGTAGTATTTATGCAGTTCTCTCCAATAAGCAACTCAGAGTGTTAAGGCTTAGTACATGTGTGTGTATCTCAGGCTACATTCCCAATCACAGCAATGCCACCATACTTCAAAACTGTTGGAGAAGCCTCTGGCACACACAGCCTCAGATGATTTACAGCTCTCCCAAGTATTGCTGGATGAAGTTTGGGAGCTGGCATGGGCCTAGGATGTAGCTGGGATGTAGATACTCTGTTTTCAAAGACAAGACAGCTGAATAGTATATGTAAGGGTTATTGCATGTCTTAGTGCCAGGGGACTGTTTAGGGCATGTTTGGATCAGTAGGATAAATGTAATCTCAGTGTCTTTCTTGAATGTGCTACATTTTGTATTGTGCTCATTCCGAAGTTCCATTAACAATTTTCTGTTTCTATAAGCTGAACTTTAGAAAAGAACAACTGTAGTATTGTTTTACAAAATCTATGTGTAAATTCATAATTTCAGATGCATCTTGCTAATATTAACCTGAAGACAGTCTAAGCATGCCATGAAACACAGCAGTTTATGATTCTAAATCAAGGACTACACTGATAGTATCTTTCTCATAAGCTTAGGAAAGTCAGATTTTTCCATGCTGGAATAATTCATACTCTGAAATCTTACAAAAAACATTGCCTTTAATGGGAGTCTGTTTCACTCAAACAGAACAGTAATGGGGATCCATTTCTCTTCTCTGTGTCCATATAGATACCTGCCTTCAGGGAAAATAAGGGCATTGTGAGACAGAGGTCGGCCTACCACTTATGGTTTCTCATGTTTTGTATTCTAAAGAGGAATGACTTGTGCATACCAGAGACCTGAGAACTAATAATTTTTCCCTAAATCAAAATGTTTTTTTGCAAATATTTATGTTATATAAACGTTCAGTCAGGTGTACTGGCGGACCAGCACTCCCAATAGGCGAGACCCTGAGAAACTCACGTGCTCCAGGGTTTTCCAACTTTCTGCTGTTGAGCTGAGAGTCTTGGCAGGTTCTGTCTCCATAGGCTGGAGGCTGAAAGCTGTGGAAATGAGGGATTTGTGCCCAGTTGTGGAGGCATGGCCGGGTGTAGCTGCGGGCTGTGTGCGGGGAGCCAGGGCGCTGTGCGGGCGCGGGACTGGGGCGCCCTGGCAGCTGTGGGGACAACAAGGTGGGTGATTAGCAAGCGTGACAGGACCAGGAATGCTGATTTCACTGAGCAGCTGCTGCCTGCAGTGAGGTTATTTCCTGGAGGAAGTTTCATGTGCTGGGATTGTCAGAATTAAATATTCTCTCAGTTTCCAGTTCGTGAGAAATTAAAAAGGGATTTGTTATTTGATTCAGAGTAAAACCAAATAACCCTCTCTGCTTCCCACCAAAACTTTTTCACAAATCAGAAATGCTACTCCTCAGCCAGCTTCACTCAACAAACAAGCCACTGGGAGAATGTGCTTTATTCATGCTTTTATTGAGATCTGATTTTGCAGATCAATGAAAGACTGAAAAAGCAAATTTGTTCATAGATAAGGTACCCATTGTAATACTAAGCTTCTAAATCAGCAGTTTCTGCATTTGATCAGTTCTTTCATCTTTACCTATGGTAATAAAATTCAACGCTGAAGCTAATGCAGAAGTGCTGATCAGAATTCATCCCAATGCTTTTCAGACAGCCAAAATAACATTTGGATTAGAGAGCCCAATACTTTTCCTTGAATGTTTGGAATATTAAAACACAACTCAAGCTGTAGATTTTAAATGTCACTACTCAGAATAATATCTAAGTCACACAAAACCCAAGCAAAGGAGACATCTAGATAACGGAAGCTTGCTTTCAACTTGTGACAGAAAGCATAATAATGGTTTGTTGTTTTTTTTTTTTGGTTTTGTTTTTTTTTTTTTGAGAAACTGTGTAGGTGTGGAACAAGCATCCTCAATCTATATAGCGTCTAAGCAGGATCCTCTTCAGACCTCCTGAAATGCTTTTCTGACAACAATGTTTGCATAGCTCACCGTGTGCTAAGTATTAATTTTTACAGTTTACTGCTCAGAAATAATTTTTAGACTTGAGTTCATTTTCTTGACCTTCAGAATCCCTGGTCCAATGCCTGAAGTGCTGGCCAGGAAAGCAGACATTCCCAGTAGTGGGGATTTATTTGTTATTTATCAGTTTGCCATAGATACCTAGGACAAGGGATTCTTTAAACAGGAACATCTCCTGAATTTCTGGTCTGGTTTACAGAGAGTATGAGTCATTATAGTCCCTTGTAGGCGACTTTTCATGTTTCCAGAGGTCCTGTGTCATGGCTAGGAATTGCAATACAAACAACTCTGGGCAAGTGGCATTTACCTGTTACAGTATAAATTAGTGTGGAGAAACCAGCCAGCACAACCCTGTCTGTGTCAGAAACTGGATGGTAAATAAAGCTCACCTGAGTGAATCTTCAGCTGCAGTGAGATGGGTAGTTCATCAGCAGATGAATGATTTAATTAATTCTGAATTAGTGTTGGGAGATCCCAGCACACTTAGGAAAAACAAACTCATGTCCTCAAAGATGCAGTTTGCTCTGCCTGTACTCCCTGGGGCCATGGCCACAGGCAGGGGAGCTCTGGTTCACGTTGGCACCCCTGAGAGAACTTGTGTTTTTCCTAGATCCCAGAGAACTTACTGAGCAGGGTCTCTTTGTGCAAGTCCCACTGGTTTCAGACAGAATATGGTGCTACTAATGTAACAGGGGAAACTGGTAAAATGTGGCTTGAAGTGGTTACTGTAGCCAGCCTTTGGTCCTTTGTTTTACTTGGGTGTAGTCTCTGATCTGTTAGGGAAAAGAGCATAAAACTTAATTCCTTTCTTCCACGACTAAGGAGACAAAAGATTTTTCTGTGCATGCATCACTTGGTACCAGGAGGCAGTCAACCAGCACCATCCAAAGGGATAAAATAAAGGATACTTACACAGAGTTGTACTTCCAAAAATGACAGTAACAACACAAAACTGAGACATTTGTGGACTCATCTTTGCAGTTTCCTGGAATATTTCAAAAGATTTTCTAGATTATATTTTTGATGTGATATAAGATTGTTTTTTATCAGAGAACATAAGTATGTATCTTTAAATATACTACTGAGTTTGAGACTGTAGCATTGTCTCAGGAAATTTCTTATAGTCATAGAAAATTTCTACCTTAGCATTGCTTGCACAGTTACCTACTACTATGTCATATATGAGTGTTTCTACAGAAATGAACAAAAATTGTTTTTCTGAAAGCAATGAAAAGTACCTGGTGTCATAATGAACAACAGGAAAAATGTTAATTATTCATAGAAACTTCTAGAAGATTCATATTTTACACAAAGTATTGATACTGACAGTTCATAAAATTATTCTCTTCCAGTTTCAGGTGCTTTCCTCATTCATTCCCTCTCAACAGGGAGATACCTCTCTTTCCTAATTGGGTTTTCAAGGTCACTATTGAAATAGTTGTTTTTTGCAGGAAACTAGTAGATATTCCATCATTTCCTAAAACTCCTTGACATACCTTTAATAAATATTAGTGAAAACCCTGTCTGGCATTTTTTCCTGTCAGTGGCAAAATCCTATAAAAACTGAAATCTCTTAAGGCTTTGAAACTCAAATCGAAGTTGTGGACAGACATGAGAGGTCATTCTTAGTCTACTGAACCTGAGCCCTGACAGGACAGAGGCCTCATGGCAGATTCAACTCTCACTGATGCCAGCAGAGAAAAGTCCATTCAAATTCTAACATAGCAACTTCATGACATCAGGAGATGACAGGTGCTTTAACTCATGTGCAGATTTAATACAACAGCTGCTTCAAAAATTAATATGTACTGATATATAATAAATTGCCTTTTTAAATTGTTCTCAAGTAGTAATGTTAGAAGCGCAGACACTTTTGTTTAGGAGATTTTTTGTAAAAAATGTTAGCCAAATTGCTTTAAAAAGCAATGTGAAATTGTCTCAGAAAAATGGTTCTAAACTGTGTTCATTTTTGAGAAACTTGCTTCTTGACAAAAGTCTGTAAAGAAGATGATCTTGAAAGGCCAACATCTTGATTTTTAAAAATAGAAAAAAGAAAAAAACACAAAATATTTAATGGTAACACAAAACAGAATTTTAAAAAAAAATTATTTATTGGGAAAAATAGCATTTGGTCTAGAAAAAAACAAATAGTTTTATTTAATAATGAGAAGCATCCATTAAGAAAACACCAAAACACTGCATTTGTGTGATTTTTAATCCCTTCATAGACCTCCAAACACAGTCAGCTTCTTAATTTTGCTTGTGAGAGCTCACTGAGACTTCACAAGAAAAAGATAAAGAGGAATGATTATTATGGAAAAAACTGAATTGCATCTGCATAATGTATCAAGAGTTGTTTTGGTGGAGACCACTTCAGAAGTATACTGCCCAAGTACTTCCAACTCAGGTTTCTGTGTTTATTATGCTAGCAAAATACTGTAGTCATAGATAGACATAAAAACCCTTGGGATAACTCCATGTACACATTACTCAGAAATTCTGGTGCAATTCTTAGCAAAATTTGTTTTGGTGATTATGGCTCTGGAGTGTTTGTAATTGCAGTCCTAAGAGTGGCTCAAAAGCTAGAGCTAGTTATAACTTCTACATCATAAGGGCAGATCCTCCAATGCTTATTGAGAAAAATTGCTCATTGGTTTCAGTGGGAATTTGGCCTCATACAAAGGCCCTAGAGAGTCCCACTTCATAAATCAATTATAGTTAATTCATCAGAAAAAGCTAATTCTGATTCAGTTTAGAACAACCAATCTCATTTCAAATCATTAGTTACCTAATAATGAAGGAAATTAAAATATTGTTAGAATTAATCATGTGTGACTCAGCAGTCCAAGAGACCTTCACCTAACAGATTGAGTTTAAAACTTTCCACTATGCAATATGCTAAACAAATATAACTGGGGATTTTGTTAGATCAGAGCATTGTTTGTGCATAAG